ATATAAGTATACTCAAACAGGGTCCACTTTTTCTCGAATAACAATGTTTTCTTTATTAATTGATCCGATTAAAGAACTTTCAATCGTTATTTGAAGACTTTCTAATCAATTAAACCTTTCCTCGAGTTCCACAGGTTAACTCATCCAAAATTAAAAGACTAAAGCAAAAAATAAACCCTTAAACCGTCCATGATTGGTTCCACTACCTTACGCATAAGCTGCATAAAAACGTTTTATATCAAGTTTTTCTTTTATAACGAATAAATATAGTCGAAAGCTTTTTACTTCACAAAATAATACTATAGTAACATACATACGAGTGTATTTTTTAAGTAACAACTGTGACGGGACGATCAAGTCATGCGCTTGGTAGTAAACGACATGCCTGTCTATAACAGTTGCAGAGCCACTCAAGAGCTATAAATCGCAAATATCTGAAGGGCACTGCCACTGCTCCTGTCAACCTGAGACATAAGTTAACAAGTCCCATGTGCCTGTAATTTCACCAGCACCCTTACCTTTTAAAACCGAAACGCGGTAATGCTTACATTACTGCTTAATATAAATACAATATAGATGTGTTAACGCTTACCTCGTTATAGTAGGTGGCAAACGAGACTGTAATGTCCGGATCCTTAAACGTTATACGTTTAAAAAAAAGAAAATAAACACCCAAAAACACAGAAACCCCGTACTCCTTTTACGAAAATCGATTCGGCGCGCAGTTTGATTCTTTGAAATTGGAATTCGTTTGTTCTCAACTGTCAAGTGTTTCGAGTGGCTCTGTTTCCGATTACATGCTGGCTGGCAGGATTATTGTTTTCTTCTTCTTTTGTTATGTAAACTTTTGACATTTAAAATTTGAGGACAACATTATAAGATAAAACTGTTTTAATAAGAGCTATAAAAAATATACTGAGTCAATTTTTCGGTGAATAGGGTTTCAAATGTAAAACAGACATTTCGAATCGGTTTGTGACTCAGCTCTAAAGCACGTTATCATCCGTCATATTCTGCTATAATCCGTAATGTTATAGAATACACAATTGATGTATTAGGTCCACATCGGCAAAAGAGCAATAGATATTTAAGCAATATTTCTCCTCAAGTCACCGACTTCTGTGGTATAAAGCACAAGTACGTCCCTATATGGAATATTGTAAAGTAGTGCTGTTCGTATTGTCGGTGATCCCAAACTCACAGACGGCTTGGAATCACTCAGACTACGGAGAGAGGCTGGCCGTGACGTGAGTAGAGCCCATCCTCACTTCATAGACTTCATTTCGTCCACGGAAATTACAGATAATGTCTACGTAGTAGAGGTGTCAGGGACCCAAAAAGACTGGTGTACAATAATAAACCCAGATTGTCTTATTATAAAAACAATGCAATGTAATGGAGACACACATGTAGTCTGAATTTATAATACTTCTACTAAAAGACATTCAGACGTTACCAAATAATTTATTCAGAAATAGACTTTGTGTATGGTTTGAAGACAAAAGTTATTAGAACGTGATTGATTTTTTAGATAAACGTTGACATGATGGACATGGTCTATCTGCCTATCCCAGGTGACGTAAATTTTTAATGTACTTAAGAGATCTGCCGAATCCCGAAGGGATCCAGGACCTGAAAAATATTGTAGTGTGACGGTCTGCACTTTCTGTTACCGTTTTTTGAAAAACGTCTGATAGTATCGCTTGTAACTTTTAATTGATTTAGCTAGATAGTGAATGCAGGTGTGCGATCAAACCAAAAATGGTTTTTGTTACACCGTTAGCAGCCTATTTTCTTTTTGCACCTATTTCTTAATAAATAAATGAAATTTGTGTTTAATCTGCACCTATCTATGTATAATGTAATAATACATAATATTTAATACTTTGATATTAATACTTATCATTTTGTTGTTATTAATTGACTGATTATTTCTTGTGCTTACTGAATTAAGTAGTAAGTAATCCAATAACATTGTTATAGTGAAATTAATTTTAAGTAAAAGTTTGCAGGCCTAAAATGCCTCTGGGAAAATATGTGTTCTAAAAAGAAAGAAAGAAATCCACCATGTTTTAAGCAAATATATTTTAACTTCATATTTCAATGTTGAAGATGTCCATGGGCGACGATGATCACCTCCCACCAAGCTCGTCTGCCCGCTTGCCTTCTATTTTACATTTTAAAAAATGCATTACCGTAGTAAATGAATTTCTACTTACACATAAAAAATATAGAATAAAATGCATTACAACGATTCAGAAATTTCAGAGGGAGGTATGATTCACTCAGTGCATTTGATCTGCCGCCAGGCAGTAATGTCAGCATTGCTGCGTTCCGGTTTTGAAGCGTAATAAGGGTGCTGGTGTAATTACACGCACGTGGGACTTGTCAACTTATGTCTCAGGTTGACGGGCGCAGTGGCAGTGCCCCTTAGATCTTTACGATTCAAAGCTTAGATTAGCGCTGCAACTGTCATCGACAGGCATGTCGCTTACCAACAGGCGCACGACTTGTTCGTCCCGTCAATTGATATTATAAAACAGTCACATAGAACATAGAACTATATTACTCTATATAAAACTAAAATACATATTTGGATGTTATTTTCATGTTAAAAAAATGTTTAATTACTTTTTTCATCATTTAAAGTAATAATTTTAAAGTAATAACTCTTAATTTAACTGCCTTCGTGGCCGAACGGTTATCATGCCGGACTGATACGCAGAGGTCCCAGGTTCGATTCCAGGGCCGGGAGAAATATTTGTATGGCCTGCATATATTTCTCTCGTGAGCTTGGGTGTAATTTGTGATTGTCGAAGTGCGTGTCCATGGCACCCGCGACACAGGGTTTCCCTAGTGCTGGGCAATGCACACATTATAAAAAACAAAATATTGTACTGTAATTTTGTTTCAAATTTTATTTTTGCCCTAAAAATGTTACACCAGTTTTGATTTCATACATCCACATCTTTGTTATCATTAAAAGAAATAAAGTTAAACATTGTCTATGGTTTTAAAAAAACGCATGTAGTGTAAATAATTTTGATTTCTTTCTTTCCTTGCATTGTAACGTTTACTTCAAAACGTCACAACAAAGTCACCTTTTACGGCTTAACCGATTTTACAGTGACTTTGTAAGTTAAACCTTTTAGGAAAGAACATAAAATAAATGTCACAATGCATTCGTCGTAATCAATTCACCGCAAAATTCACGCCAAATAAGTTACAAATACAACAATATACATTCGAAAAAACATACTTAAAAGTAATTTTAAACCTTATACGCGTTTAGAGCTACGAAAATAAATTTTACAAACTGTAAATAGTAACTTTGCAAAGCTGCAAGAAGTTCTACGAAAAATTGAGGCTGTCACAGAAAAATAATAATTAAGTCCAATTCATTAGATGCAGCGTGACTTCTTTGGTATTCCTATTTGTAACAAATTTTCAAATTCACTTCAAAAATGACACAAGAATCTTTATTTCAACACTGTAGAGCTTACTTTTGAAGTTATTTATTAAAAAAAATGCAATTAAATAGTCACCCACGGCGTATCCAATCGCGCCAAAATATTGACGTTACGTTTTGACAGCTCAAAAAAAAAGAAGAATGTGCACCTCACCTGGGCATAGACAAAAGAGTGTTTACGGCGTTGCAAATTTGCTCATTGACTCTAGACTTTTGTTTATTGTTTTTTTTGTTTTGTTCTTTCGTTTGTTTGCTTTGTTGTTTTCTACCAGTTACGCGAGCTTGTGTCACTTTTAAAAAGCTATCTTTAGTAGTTTCTATGTGGTATTTAAAGGTGGTATCAAACCATAGAAATCTAAATAAGGAAATAGAAGTGTTTCGAAAACGGTTTCGGCACAAAATTGTTTATGTCTATTGTCTATATATATATTGTATATTTATATATTTACTTTTTGTTGTGGGGTTAAAAAAATCGAAATACCAAATTGTATTAGATATTTAATTGTACTAATTGAATTTAAAATATCAGTTTGCAATAAATATGGATATGAATTACTGTGGGCTGAGGCTGAATAAATATGTAGCAACTCGTTACATTCAGTAAGCGAATTATAAAATGTATAATTAAAGAGGCGCTGTTGAATGATACACCGATTAAAAAAAAAATCTTATTGCTGTAAGAATGAACTTGCATTTAATATAATAATATTGTTCTTTTGTTTAATAAGTAAATCTAACCTACGTGAGAAGTAGTATGAATAGAAATTTATTTTCTCCCAATAGCTTACAAATATTACAATGGCAGTTTGTAGAAATATAAAAGCAAATATGTTTAGGGCACGTTTTAAGATGGAGAGTCCGCTTAAGGGGCGTCCAGTGTGGTCTCTGCTGGTGATTGTCGTGCTGCTCGGTCAATTAGCTTCTCTTATAAAGAGGTTGACCAGACTATTAAATCTATGACAAGGGGAAAGTCGCCGGGACACGATGGTCTCAATATTGAGCATCTCGTTCACGCGGGACACATCTCCCTCGGGTCCTAAAAATGTTCTTTAACATGTGCCTTATTCATTGTTATCTGCCAGACAGCCTTATGAAGACGATAGTAGTGCCCATAATAAAAAATAGGACGGGGGATGCCTCCGATCCGGGCTAAAGTGCTGGATGGATTGCTGGACGGTGTGTTATCAAGGCACATAAAAACTCAGGATGCCCAGTTTGGGTTTAAGCCCAAACTATCAACGGAAAGTGCCATTCTATGCCTTAAACATACTGTCCAGTACTACACCAAAGCGCAAACGCCGGTCTTTGCCTGTTTCTTGGACTTATCGAGGGCATTCGATACGGTCTCATATGAGATACTATGGGACAAAATGCAAAGCTGCACTGGTACCCCGAGGGAGGTGATCGACCTATTCCGTTTAATCACCAAAACAACCAGGTGAAATGGGCAGGGGTGCTCTCGGACGTGTACAGATTGGAGTGTGGGGTGTGACAGGGTGGGCTCAGCTCGCCTAGGTTGTTCAATTTGTACATGGACGAGCTGATCGCTGGGCTCAGCAGCACGGGTATTGGCTGTTCAATCGGGGGTACCATGTTGAATAACATAAGCTACGCGGACGATATGGTGCTGCTGTGCCCGTCGATCAGTGCGCTCGTGAAACTACTGAGGGTCTGTGAGGAGTACGCGGTGGCCCATGGCCTAAGGTACAATACGAGTAAGAGCGAGTTACTAGTATTTAAGGCTGGTAACAAAACCCTCGTCTCTGTCCCTCCAGTACATCTATGTGGATCTCCTCTTAATAGAGTGACTCGTTTTAAATACCTTGGGCATTGGGTCACCGAGTGTCTCCGTGATGATATGGACATGGAGAGGGAGCGCAGGGCGTTGGCCGTGCGCTGTAATATGTTGTCCCGCAGGTTTGCGCGTTGTAATGGGAATGTCAAGATCACCCTTTTTAAGGCGTTTTGTCAGACCTTTTACACGTGCAGTCTGTGGACAAGTTACACTAAAAGGGCGGCCAACGCCCTGCGTGTACAATATAATAACGGGTTCAGAATGCTGTTGGGACTGCCACGCTCCTGCAGCGCATCAGGCATGTTCGCGGAGGCACGTACTGACACCTTCAGTGCGATAATACGCAAGAGATCAGCCTCCCTGATGCGACGTTTTCGTGATGGTTCCAACAGCCTTCTGAATTCAGTTTGGGAACAGCCGGCTTGCGCTTTTTGTAAGCACTGGAACCTAGTGCATATGGGTTCCAGGGGCTTAGTTTATAATTTAATGTAGTTTATTATTATTATTGAATTGTTCATACTAACATAGGCTATAAGATTTTGTAACTAACACACTATGGACATGGTCTGAAATAAATGAAATTATTATTATTATTATTATAAATATAAATAATGCTACAACGGGAGACTGGTGTCCAAGTTAGGTAAAATCTGCGTTATAGATCACCAGTACCTTTTCACTGCTAGGTTAATCGTTAAGTCGATCTATAATTGTATAAGAACGTGCTTGCTAACAAACTGTTTCCAGGTTGGCGAAAGACAGACTTCTGTAAAATGTACGCTTTTTGAAAAACAAATAAACTAAAAAAAGTCATCTTCATTAACATGTACTGAACAAATTATACTATAGCTTGTAAGAAAACCAGTTGATTTTACTGTTGTCTTCAATATACCGGATATTCAGTTGTCGTTAACATCGCCACATTCGGGGAAACTAAGAGTGGTTACAAACGGTGACTTTTAACAGTATGCAAACGCGCGACTGCATCGAAGTGTATGCAGTCGGGCGCTTGCATCGCTGCTTAAGAGGGAGCAGAGGAAAAATCCCTAATCTTCGATTTGATTTTAGAGGGGTATATCCACTTTAAAGTTAAAAATAAAATATTGTATGAGTAACTACACGACATATTCAAGCATAGACATTAATCAGAAACATAAAACAATAAAGTTTCCTCGATAGATAAAAATCACGAAATGACCTCTAATTTTCACATTTTTTCGATTTATCCTCGAAATGCTACAGGTTATTAGGACAAAAATTAGATAATTAATTATATTTATGCATGATCGAGAACTGTCACTACGGATTTTTTTAAATCCCTTTAGTTTTAGAGTTATTCCGTTAAAACGAATTTGGTACTTTTAATGCGCAAAATTCAACATCTCCTGTCGCATGTCACGCGAACTTGAGGCATATATTTGTTTCACAAATTTGGGCGGAGCCAACGTCAAAACTTTTTTGGCATGCTCCCTCTTAAAATCGCGCATGTGTGTAAAGATAGACGATTAGCGACTGCATCGCTTCTGCATCGCGTTTGCATCGCATTTGCGTCGCTGCTAAAAGTCGTCGTGTGTAATCAAAAAATATTTACGTACATTTTCCAGCCATTGTATTAAAAATACATATGAAACGTAATGACGTAATTCACTTCAACTTTGAGTTTTGAAGGTGACAGGCGCAGCGGCAGTGCTCCACAGATCTTTGCGATTCGAAGCTTTGGCAGGCGCTACAACTGTCTTGGACAGGCGTGTCGTTTACTAACTGTAGCATAAAAGAAAATTGGAATTTAGATAAATAGTCTTTTCCTATTCTAATAGAAAGCTATTAAATTGCATTAAGGGGGTGAATTATATATTAAACGGCCACACACAATCGTAATAAAATTTCTGATCTGATGTCATAAAAATATTATTGCAGTATCTTCACTTTTGATATGACTAGGAGATAATGCTCACACTTAATGGCGTTAGTGTCGCAGATAGTGCAATGACTGTAACCTTTTAGCGTGCCAATAAAATTGACATAAACTTATTTGATTGATTTCCATTGGTTGATATTCAGAAAAAAGAAAGAGTGACAATCGCAAGGCGAAACTTTATAACATCGAGTATATAACCAGAAAAAGAGACGAAATGTTAATTAATTTGTTTGAAAACTATTCTGCCAAAATTTACGGGTGTCGTCAATTATTTCACTACATATCGACCAGTTTAACTTGAGCTGTGCTATAATGAAAGAAAATTACATATTTAATATTCAATTACCGATGTAATGAAAAAGAGTTGATATTTAAAAGTGATATAAGGCCCATTTGACGGATGAGTTGCCAGGGGTGGATGGCCCTTATTTCGTCTCTATTTCTGGTTATATAGTCGATGCTTTTTTCAAATCTGTTATTTATTTTTCAGTCACTAAAGACAAATCATTATGGCAAGTTACAGCGTCGAGCAAATGATAAAAATTTATTATCAAAATGGGGGTTCTATTGTGGCTATGATTTGACAAAAGCAGCCTCAACAACATGGCCGCTATGAACTGTCAAAATCTATCAAACCCTATGATATGACTAAGAAAATGCAGTTCTATAGGTACAGTTTCACTGCAGGGTCAAATTGTACCATGTTAACAAAAAGTTCTAAAAGCAAATTAGTTTTGGGAAAAAAGACAAAATTAAAAACAAGTAACATATGAAATAAAACTAGTTTTTAGTATTCTTTTAATACGAAATGTAACAAAATGTGTTAAAAAGTTTAACAGTTAGTGTCTGTCGCAGCTATAAATTGCAATTGCAATGATAAATGTATTCAAATGTATATTTACAAAGAGCAATCCCTAGAGTTTCGTACACATTCTTCTCAGGGGAATCTGCCTTAGGAATGAGCAGTAGAGTTTAATCAGTATGACGATTTCAAGAGTCATGTTGCTTACCTATGAATTGAAGATTATTTGATCTTGACTTTGACAAAGATTTCACGAGCACTGCCACTGCTTTCTGCTGCTGCTTTTGCAAGGTCCTGAAAAGGTTGTAACCCTAACTAGCCGTGAACAGGTTCACGGCAATGAAACGGTAAACTTCCGGTCCACAAAATTTATTAAAGAAGTAAAGTTTAAAGAAAGGCTGTAACAATATAAAGGTAAATGTAAAAAAACAGGTACAACAGTATAAAACACCCCCTACACTTTATTATTGAGGCACTTACCCCTAAATGGGCCAAGTAACTGAATTACAGATATGAAAGCTGTAGACTTACAAATTATTACACATGATTTAGCTTATTAAATGATTACAAACGTAGTGAAAAACCAGAATTAGCGATTATTCGCGATGGAATTTGGAACAGCTCCGACTGTTGTGGCGGCCGAGCTGGGAGTGACCGTGGTACGAAAACAAAATGAGAGAGTGAAGGAAGATGGAACAATTCAAATTTAAAATTTAAATACATGTAGAATAAAAAATGATAGGGTGCAAGCGGAGAGAGGCGATACAAAGAGGGGAGATGAGGGTTTAAGGAGTTCACACCGTCACAATCCCATGTTCATATTAAGTCACCAGCACACTGACATAGGGAGGATCGAAAGTTATGTGGGACTCTCACCCTATAGTGGGGGGCATACCGCAGTAAAACTCCACCGGCGTTGCCCGGAAGTCCGGGTGTTATGGGTGTTCGACCACAATGATACCCACCGGCCCCCCTTGGCTTTCGCCAGGGTTCCCGCGACACGAAAGGAGTACTTCCTTGGGCGAACTCTTTCACAAGGAGCTGCACTGCTGTTAAATTATTATTTAACTATTTAGGTTCACGGTGTTGTAATGTAAAAATTTAAATTATGTGTGATTAACATTAACTTACAAATAAATGGACGACGGGTCTAATACAAAAACCACGAAAAAAATGTCCCAAGTCAACCTATTTAAACGTAGTGACATGTCAAGGAATATGACAAATCTAAAACGTTGAATTTAAATTGTAATGTCATCGCAGTACTGTCTAATTTTGCTTGCTTCGCTGTCAGTCGAACAAACGAAGACTAGAGCGTGAATGACGCTCTGTATACGATTTTAACGCCCTATAAGTTCGGACACTTTTTAGCGCGGACCCGTCCATATAATTGTAAGTCAATGGTGATTAATGTTTAAATGTATCGTCTACTTATGCGGCAGTGTTTTATAGAGTTAGAACTCGTTTCGCCATAAAAAATATAGCTTTTTTGTGAGAAATCATGGAGTGACGTCGGAGACGTTAGGAAATAACTTTCTCGTGATATTTGTTGTACTTGTTATTGTAAAATGACTGTGAACGTCGTACGTCGCTAACGGTCCATGAGCGTACCTCCAAAATTGCACCATATTATTAAATTGACCAAGTTGTCCCCTAATCTGGGGTAGATAAAATTGCCATTAGAAGAAAAAAAATATACATTATCTTTTAATATAAAAATTACAGAAGAGAGAAGTTATATATTATCATGGTAATTATGTTAAATGGAGACTTAAATTTTTTTATGATATTAATTGACGAGACGAACAATCGGGCGCCTGATGGTAAGCGACACTCCTGTTCATATCGCAAAGATCTGAGGGGCACTGCCACTGCGCCCGTCACCCTGAGACACAAGTTGAAAAGTCCCATTTGCTTGTAATTTCACCAGCACCCTTACCCTTCAAAACCGAAACCCAGTATTGCTGACATTACTGCTTGACGGTAGAAATAGGTATGATGGCAGTGCTTCTTCGGACGAAATCTTTTACAAGGCTTTGTTATTTTTGTAAAATTAAAACGGAGAAAGAACATACGCTGTTATTTTTAATATTGTTTGTATTTAGAAATTTTCCTATTAATTCATTCCGAAACAAACGTTTAATAAATAATTTACTTACACTTACCTATGTGTTATGAAAAACTGATTAAAATAAATAACGCTATGAGGCTATGAGTGTGTCATATATATAGCCCGACACTAGGGAAACCCTGTGTCGCGGGTGCCATGGACACGCACGGACTATGACAAATTACACCCAAACTCACGGGAGAAATAAGTTTAGGCCATACAAATATTTCTCCCGATCCGGGAATCGAATCTGCGTACCAGATCATCATGATAACCGTTATAACTAAATAATAATTACATTAAAATAAGTAGGTATTTCACATACTGTTCTACATTCAAAACAGCACCAAAGTTTCATTTCATTATCACGCAAACTGGTTGCAAAACAATAGAAAACAAAATATAAAGTTGAAATCAAAATATTCGCGTCAACAACGACGCAAGCATTGTAAATCAGACCAACTAATCACTCGGTAACCCGAGAAAATGGCCGAACAGTTTAATTACAGCAGACCACACACGCAGCTCATTAAAACAGAAATCATAACAATAATAATTCCTATAATTATATCCTGGACTTATAATTTCGCGCGCTCGCAAGCTTGCCCAAAAAAAAAAACAATATTAAAACATAACCTTACCTTATTAAAGTGTCAACAACTCAATTTATGGCGGGAACTCGATGGTGACGCCCTCTACCAGAGTTTAAACAACCAATCACGTTCCTGCCTTTCTAATTTTATGAAATAAGTGACATATAGTTGTCTCTGTCACTCCCCAGGCGCGGTAAAGCACGATAAAGCTCGCGTTTTACGACGCTCTGTTTGAATTTAGAAGCGTTTGTTTTTTTTTAACAGACGTGGTTAATGAGGCTAGTGCAGATGACATTATTAATTTATGCCTGAACACAAACCTTTTTAATTTATATTTTCGTTTTTTTCTTTTATTTTTTAAGGCACAGATTAAACACGTTTTGCTCGCGGTACGTGATCGCGAATTGCGGGCGCTGGTTTTACGATATTTTTATTTCTTTTTTTTTTGTAAAGGCAGCCGTGCGTGTCTCCCTTTACTTTAGTAATCATTTCGTGAAATGACTTTTTATGCGATCGATTTTTCGTTGATAATGAAAGGTGTCTGGTAGGAATCCGTTTTTTAAACGAGCTAACAATAATGCGGTATTCTGTTAAATGTTTTT